TAATGCCTTTTAGACTTTTGAGACTTAGTTATCTTTCATCAGTAGGTGCAAATTTCTACTTGGAAAAGGTCACATACAGGCATACACTGGCATTAGCATTTCTTGTGATTAGCATATGCATGAGCTTTAATAGAAGGCAGCATCTGAAAAATCACAACCTCCTTCTTTTATAAATATATGTAGCAATCTTGGTGAGAATAAAGGGAATACAATCTTTCATATCTCCATGAGGAAGCACCAGTTTTCCTGGTGCTGAGACAAGTTCATGGCCCAGTCTGTGCCTTTATCTAATTTTGGCTGGAAAAAGGAATGCCTTTCTTACGCTTTCAAGGAATCACTTCTCAAAAAAAAGAAAAAGCTCATACTGGTTAATGAAATTATCCCAGATTTACACTCATGTGCAGCTGAAAGTAAAATCTCTCTCAAAGGGGTTTTTTTTTAGGGAAAGAGCACTTTTCATAATGAAACTCTGGAAAACTTAATGAGAAGAAGGTACCTGAAAGTCTCCTTCACCACGGGAAAAAAACCTCTACAATTACTACGAAGATTATCAAGGTAAGAGTCTCACCTAATCTAATTGCAAGTAATCTGGCAGCAAAGCTGATGACTTAGCAAATCTCCATAAAGGAATGCTGACAAACCGTACAGGTAACAAACAGCTGGTGTTCAAAGAAAGGGAAGAGGATAATGTAAGTAGTAATAAAGCCAGCACTTAGAAATCAGTAAAGGTTTTCTGCTTTTAGCTAAGTGCTCCTGGATTTGAACACTGACTATCAAAGATTTTGTGTTTGGAAGAGTCTGTTTGTTGTGTTTGTGGAATAAACTTTTTTGTTATCAATACTAGTCCTTATCCCAATAGAAAGAAAAAGGGAGCATAGTCATAGTTGGGACGTAAAGGTATGGGAGGGTGAAGAGAAGTACTGTACCACATGATGAATGTTCTTACTCTAGTAGTGGCCAAGATTGTGATATTCCAACAACAGAGTGTTTTTTATTTCCTCTGAAGGACTTAATACACTTTTGCAATGGTTCAGTGACTGAGGTAGGTGAATACAGAAATAAATGTAGCTTCCTGTGACTCGCATGCAGTGATTAATAATTCTCTCAACCTTGAATGAGCAACTAAAACCCCAAGAGAGAATAAACTCACTGAAAAGCGAGAATATAGAGGAAGGAAAGGAGTAGTGTAAATGAAACACTATCCTTCTTCATGTATAAGCACAGAAAGTCATGCAGAGTGAATATGGAGAAAAGCGTCTTTCCAAGGAAGAAAGGTAGAAAGGTGCAACTATCAGCTGACTACAGAACATGGAAGCAGGTAAGGAAGAAAGTTGCTTCATCTTTCAATGAAATGAGAGGTTTGTCAGAAATAAAGAAGGAACAGATATTGCGGGTTGAGCAGAGAATGTATTGGAGTGAGCATTCCTACTCCTTGAACGCAAGGAGTAAAGATACAAGTCTAATCATCATAAGCTCTCCTCTGTGAACCCTTAAGCTGTTGGGAATTTTCATGCTTTAAAAGTAGGATCTTGGAAAATACTGACACTGTATGTAAATTAATGTAGCATAGAGTATTATAGTTTGTCAAAGGGTGCAATTCTTAGCTCCTGGTCACTTACTACTTTGAAGATAACAGTGAAAGTTGGGATATATAAATATAGTTGTATTGCTGAAATTGTCTAGTATTTTTCTTTATATTGACATTAATACTGACATGCAAATTTCCTAATAGTTTCTAGCTTTCAGTTACTTTAACTGTATTACCTGAGGGGTTTAAGTCTGCTTTTCCTAATAAAACTGTTTTAAAGCTAACTGAATGGGTTTCTTAAACCTTGCAGTCAGTGTCTTTTGGGCTATAACAATGGCACAGCTCTTTAGAAGCTGGCAGGTGAAAAGAATTCTGGTTAGCAAAATGTTATGGTGCAAACATCCTGCTCTGTTTAAAAAAAGGTAACAAAAGTTAACTAATGAAATGGCCTGTTAAGAGTTGAATTAATGCTGCATGCTTTATTTGCTTGTTAATTCTCTGTGGATAGAAAACGGCAGGGAAAAGCACACTGGCTTTCATTTGTTACAGCTTTCTAGAAATCCTTGTGACTCTGGAAAAGGAGAATTCACTTGCATGTGACTAAAGCTTATTGACTTGGGAAGCAGGTTCATGATCAGTGTTTATTTTACTTGGAACTTTAATGCCATGGACAACAGTGGGTTCCCGATGGTATGTTCAGGCATCCTGACTATGACAGAGTCAAGGCAAACAAAATCCAGTCCTTTTACTCCAAAGTGCCTGAACTCCCTGATAACAGCGTAGCTCTGCGTGCAGTAACTGCACATAGGCGCAAAGGATTTAGGCTGAAATTGCATCTGGGACTGTGTACTTGATGTTTTTGACTCTTGAAAACTGATTTTTATGTTTCCTCTTTTCCATAAAGGACATTCTTGTAGGAAATACAAACTAAAAGCATATGCAACTGTCAGGTGATTGTGATGAAAAGCCAGACAGGTTGCTGAATCTGGCCTTTCAATATTTATTATTGCCAGGATGCTTTTAAACAGCACTTTAGCAGCAGTTGAAATTATTCCAATGTACTGCTCTATTGTAGCCCACATTTATAAAATGAAGTCATAGATTTTATAGACTGTAGGGTTAGATTTAGAAAACTTTCGTCTCTTTTGTCGGAAAGGTCCTCTAAGCCAAGAGGATAATTCTTGTTAATAACAATGGTAAAATAAAACAACACACACTTCTTAACTGAGATGAACCTGAAATTCTTTATAGATGCTTGCTCCATTTGTGGATGTTAGTTAAACCGAATCTTAGTTTGCTGCATGTATTTCTCACACTATTGCACCTCAAAAACCTAAGAGCTTTGTGCTGCATTAGTTGAACTGTTTGCTCTTATTTCTCTCCCACTGTGAATTACAAGCTTCCCTCTCCTGGGAGAGAAGGGAAATGGGTATATCGAGAATAAAGAATCCAGCACTGTAAATGTGTTTGGGGATTTTATTTTAATATCCACTCAGATGTTTGCAGAATACCACGGTGACCTTGTTGGTGGCAAAGAATACTCTAGAGACAGCATGTCTAGTTAATTTCATCCTAAAAGCAAAGCATAACTAGTTCCCTAAGAGAAGATGGAAATGTAGGCAGTAAGTAGTTTTTACTGCTAGATGAACTTGGCTAATTCTTATGTAGACGAGACAGGAAAAACAAGATCCAAAGGGAGAGTAAGTCCTACGATATTTCAGGTCAGGCAGAGGCTTGAGGAAGAAGCATGCTCTCCAAGTCTCTTCTGTGTCTGTCTTGTGCTCTGTGCCATAAACAGAGGGGAGTAATATTGCACTTCAGTTCCATTGAGCTAAGCAACCTTCCTGCAGGAGGGAGCTTAGTGTATGCTGCTTATGTGGGAAATTGCCAGCACGCACAGACTTGATTAGCCAGAGTATTATGAATCAGGGTCATAGCTGGAGTAGTTGCTTTGTTGGGAGATGCTCAGATCCCTCGGGTAAGCAGCTAATTGCAGGAAATCTTTTAAAGCAAATGTGTGATAGGAAGAAAGCAATGAATATTGTTTATTCAAAAGACAGGAGTGGTTCCTTTGAATAATTTCTCTTGCATAATTATATAATTAGGGCATGTTCTATTTTTAATTAAATCTCTTGCATATTCATGAAAATTCTCTGAACCTGTGGACCAATTGGCATGACTCTTACTTTTAAAATGTAGTTTGTATAAAGGAATGCCCTTCAATCTTTTTTTTCCCTTTCATGTCACTGTACAAATGCATATTTCACATTAGTATACATCGTTAGCCTGTATTGCCTGTCAAAACTACAATATGATGATAAAGCATTAACACAAAATTGCCAGACAAATGTTTTAGAGATGGAGAACACAAGGAGCTGCTGCTCTGAAATACTGGTATCACACCTGTTTTTTTTTTGTTGGATGGCTTGACCCGGGTAAGATATCAGTCAGTGAGCAGTATTCAGAAAGTATACTTCGGTTCCTTCAGCTTTTCAAATCCAACAGTTAGTCTCTGTATTTACAGTCTGCAGAATCTATGTTCCCCTAACTTTGTTTTGTTTCTTGTGGGCTTCTGTGACTCTTCCTGTTCTGCCTCTTTGACAACAGCATTAGCTTTGATTCCTCTTCTGACTTCCTGCTTCTTCTGACTCGGGAGTCTTGCTCACCTGATTCTTGTTCTCATATGTGCCATTTTGTAGACTTTCTCAATGCTGTATGCGAGGGCAAACAGATATATAAGCTCTTCTTTCCTCGTGTGTTTTAGATATTGGCATTTAGGTGAGGCTGCACATTTTGATTTACCACTGTACCTCCATATGTTTCCATTGGCTTATGATTCATACTCTCTATGTACAGCCCAACAGGCAGCCGGGCTAGATGATCATTGTAGGTCCCTTCCAACTGAACTATTCTATTCTAATCTGGAGCTCAGATGATAATGCACCATAATATTCTGTCCAGACACTAATAATTCTTTAATAAAGTTAAGCTGTCGCTGTTCCCTGATGATTTCCAATGTGCATTTTACTGCTTTGCTATATTTAACTGGTTTTTTTCTTTTTTTTCCCCATCTCAAACCTCAGTTCCTTCCATCTTTCATTTCTGGTCTTCTACCTAGCGGAACATCAACACGAAGAAAATACTGTGACCATTCATTCTTCTCTAGCAAAAGTGGGAATGAAATTGGAAACTGTGAAGAAATGGTTCTTGTGACAAGTGTCACGGAGTTCCAATGGAAGTCTTTCTTTTTATGTGTAAACCTGTAGAAGAGTAGGGATCTTTTACTTAGCTCAAGGTGGAACAAAGACAAGGGCACTGAAACATATTAGCAGCACACGATTAGCCTCACGGGGGGGACCCGGCTTCCCCACAGAATTCGTTCTTCAGCCCGTTTCCCCCGTGTGACTTGCACAGTGAGCCGGCTGCTCGCTGGAGAGCTCTTCGCGTGCGTTTGTCCCAGAGGTGTTCAGCTAAGACGGGAGCATCGCCCCCACCAGCCCTGCTGTCAGCCCGCTTCACAGAAGCGGAACGCTGACCCTCTTCCCCGGGCGCTCCGAACAACCAACACGACGAGCAGGTGCGGCGGCAGCCCGCTCGGGAGCCGAGCCCCCTGCGCGGGACGGGAGGCAGGGAGGGAGGCAGGCAGGGGGGCGCCTGGAGGAGCGCCGGGTTTTGCCCCCCACGGGCACACGCTTCAGGCAGAC